GGTGGTGGACACGGAGTTCAGCGCCGACGCGGTGGAGTGGTGCCCGGTGGAGGGCTGGCACAGCATCCTGGCCTGCGGCACCTACCACCTCCGCCCGCCCGCCGCGGTGAGACCCACCCCCCGGTACCCCCCGGTATCCCCCGGCACACTGCGGCCGGGCCCGGCGACGTCTTCCCGCCTTCGCGGGCCGCCTCAGCCGGGCCCGGGGTCGCCCCCGGCCGCCCCAGCCCCCTCAGCCGGGCCCGGGGTGGTTTCCCGCCCTTCGCCGGCCACCGCAGCTCGGCCCGGGGTGGCCCCCAGCCACCACAGCCGGGCCCAGGGTGGTTTCCTGCCCTTCGCCGGCCACCTCAGCTGGGCCCGGGTCGCTCCCGGACGCCCCAGTCCCCTCAGCCCGGCCTGGAGTGGTTTCCCGCCCTTTGCCGGCCACCTCATCTCGGCCCGGGGTGGCCCCTGCCACCTCAGCTGGGCCCAATGTCGCCCCTGGCCACCTCAGCTGGGCCCGCGGTCATCCTCGGCTGCCTCAGACCGGCCCTGTGGGTCGCCCCCTGCCACCTCAGTCACCTCAGCTGGGCCCGGGGTTGCCCCTGCCACCTCAGCCACCTCAGCTGGGCCCGGGGTCACCCCTGGCTGCCCCAGCTCCCTCAGCCGGGCCTAAGGTGGTTTCCTGCCCTTCGCTGGCCACCTCGGCCCAGGGTCGCCCCTGGCTGCCCCAGCTCCCTCAGCCAGGCCCAAGGTGGTTTCCTGCCCTTCGCTGGCCACCTCAGCCATCACCAGTGGCCTCAGCCAGGTGCTGGTTGCCCCCCCGGCCACCTCAGTGCTGGTCCTGTGGGGCCGTGCCTTGTCCCAGCTGGGCTGGCTCAAGGTGGCCACAGCATGTGGGGCTGAGCAGGCCCCAACGGGGAGCGTGGCTGGGGCTGAGGGAGCTGTGGGGGAATTTAATCCCCCAAGAGAGGGACTTGACAAGCAGGAGCCCTCTGCCCTGCTCCCACCGGCTGGTCCTGGTAAGATCCTGGGTGGGGAGAGTGCTGGGGGAGGCAGAATTGCTGCTAAACTTATTCTTTTCTTCCCACTTTTTGATGCAGACCGACTCCCGAGGAAGCAATGGGGCCTGTGACCGGACCGGCCGCCTCTACCTGTATCACTACAACGAGGAGCAGCCTTACATCCCACTGACCGAAATCCAGAGGATTGACACCGCTGCCATCCTGGACATCAAATGGTAATGCTGGTCCCTCCAGGCGTGGAGGTCACGGTGCTGTGATCTGCCCCTCTGGGGTCCTTTTTTTGGCTGTCGGTGTGGCAGCAACAGCAATATTTACTCACTGACCTGTCCCTGGCTTCTTGGGGGGAAGTATTCTCTGCTCCAGTGAGCAAAGGTTGTGCTCATTTCTGTTATGCTCTTCTGCTGGTCACTGACTGTGGACCTCTTTTATTTATATAATAATATTTAGTACATGTCCCCTGTATATAGTCCCCTTTACTCAGGTTTGTGGAAACTTGAGGAGTCTTAGATTTCCTTCATGAGATTTTTTTGATCAAGTACCTTCTCCTCGTGCATCCTGGAATAAAAGTTACAACTTTGCTTTCCTCTTAAAATACAAGGAAGATGGACGTTCCAGACCTGTTTGACTTGATCTTTCAGGTGCCACATTCCCGTTGCAGAACACCCCATGGTTGGCATCGCGAACTCGACGGGTGCCGTAGAGTTCTGCCACCTGACTGGGAGCGAGGTAGGTGGCTGTAACACCTCCTGCTGCTGAAGCCGTGCTTATCCCAGATTTAATACTCCTCTGGATTTATTAGCGGTGTTCAGAGACTTGTAGGGAAGCTGTGTGGTTTCCAGGGCGTAGCTTTTTAAAGACTACTTCTGTCTTCTGATGATGTTTCTCGTAAATCCCACAAATTTGTTTGTGGCACCAGAAGGACTGGCTGGGCAGAGCGTGGGAGATGAGAGGCATGAGGGGGGCAGAAGCAAAACCTGGGAACTGTGTCTTGAGAGTATGGATTAATGGGTGAACACAGCAGAAGATGCAAAATTGTTAAAAAGAAGGAAGAGTTGTGGAGAGGGGTGTCGTGTCTTTGGGTTGGTGAGAGAAGAGAGTCATCAGGAGAGCCATCCCCACAGGGTGAAGAAAGCAGAAGTGGATCTATAAGGGAATTCAGCATTCAGGTCATCGCTTCTCCTGCACTTCGTCATTAATTGAGAAGAAGCAAAGTTTAAGGGGGATTTGGTGGGAAGGAGAGGGTGGGGATCTCATGGATGTGTGTATTTAACCATCAGCCAGGACTGAGTGATTGCACGTTGCCATGGGACGTTTTGTCTCTTCATTGTAGGACCCTGAAGTGCTCGTGGGTCTCTGGAAAGCACCTGCAGTACCCATGGTGGTACGGACCTGCTGTCTTCCCAGCCTTAACCCACCCCTTTTCTTTCCAGTAGAAGAAGAGCTGCAGGTTGGAGCCGTGCTTCAGGGTCGATCTCGGGGCGCAGCGTCTGGCCTTGTCTTTAGACTGGTCCACGGGACGCGAGCAATGGTGAGGATGGGAGACCAGGGCTGGGGGTGGAGGTCGCTGGGTGTGTGACAGCTTTCAGGCATATGTTGAGGACTTTGATGAATTTGGTGGTTTTTTGTGAAGTGGCTTAAGAGTTTCTTGGTCCTGTCTTTCTCCCTGCACCTTCTCTGGAAGTTACTATTTCCAGAGAAGGGTGACAAAGGAGCAAGAGCACGTGTTGTGGCCGCTGTAACAGAGACTTAACCCAACAACAAATGTGAGGTGTACTCTGGGGAATGGTGGTGGGTGAGCCAGGGACACCTCTCCTCTTGCCTTTGCTGAAAGGAAGGACCAGAATGGGATGCAGATGGACCCACTGGTTCCAGCTCTGCTCTTAGAACGGCTGAAATTGTGAAGTTCTGCTTAAGAACTGCTAATAACAGCATGTGTAGGAAATTGAAACGTGGGTTAGTGAGAAACAGGAGAATTGGTTGGGAAGTGGCTCCTTCCTCCTGTGAATGCTTGTACGTTTGACTTCAGAAATGGCACCACTGCATGAAATGCCATGAATTAGCCCTACCTTGAAGGAGGTAGGGAATATGTTTTCTGTAAGTTAAGTGCAAAGCAGAGAGTGGTGCCTCTGGTGTGAGGCTGGAAACTGGGGGAATCGGGCAGTCGCGTGCTTAATGCTATAGGGCAAGTATTTAGTACCTTTTGCTAATTAAAGCTGTTTTATGTCAGGGGATGTCAGAAAATCTGTGTACTGTGAGCTGCAAAACTTTTGCCAGTGCTCCAAGACCACTGTGTCCAGAAACTGCAACTGTCCCGTGCCCCAGGAAGAGAGCAGGAAAGGTCAGGATCTGCCAGTGCTTCAGGTGGCTGTGACAGCAGGGAAATAAACCATTCCTTCAGACTCCAAAAGAGGGAGGAGACTCTGACAAGTCCTTGTCAGTCTGACTTGGAAGAAAAAAAAAAATAAAAATCCCTCTTCACATGGTTTATTGATGTAATATCAAGCATGTGAGAAGTCAAGTTATGCATCTAGGGGAAAGAAAGACCCAAGGCTGGTTTTCTTCCCCTCTCGTGAGCGTGAGGGGTTTGCTCCCCCTGTGAGATCAGGGAATGGGGATCACCAGAGTAGATGATTTTAAGATGAGATGGGCTGAAGCTGAGAAGAACCGTATAAATTCACGTATTCCTTCCGCTGTACTACTGTTTTCTGGCAATGTTTACTTAAATCAAACCTCTCTAATATTATGTTATGTTATCTGTCTATATTTGGCTGCTTTTTTTTTTTACTCTAACACCTTCTTAGAGCACAGGTTTCAGTAATTTCTAATGTTTTCTCTGTATTCCACTGCAGCGGATGTCCTTTGAGAGTGATCAGCAGTGATTCAGAGGGGAAGCTCAATCTCTTCTCCGTAGATGAATCCGCTCCTTCTGTGCATGTCCTGAACCAGTGGGAAGCTCACAAATTTGAGGCCTGGATTGCTGCTTTTAATTACTGGGACACTGATGTTGTGTATTCAGGTCTGTAAGGGCTGGGAATATCATTAGGGGGCGTTGGGGAGGGGGCACCTTGTTTAGGGATGGGTGTTCCTTGGGATTTTACTTCCCTGGGTTGTGCATCCTGCTTGTGTCGCACCTCTCGAAAGAGTTGGGGCCTCTGCTAGGGGTAAAAGGCTTCTTGGTTGTGGGAAGTGATTTGAGTTAATTAGGAGAAACTGTGCCTTTTAAACTGTACTTTGGCAAAAAAAGATCATAGAATCATAGAATCATTGAGGTTGGAAGAGACCCTTGGGATCATCGAGTCCAACCATCTCCCCTACTCTACAAAGTCCTCCCCTACACCATGTCCCTCAGCACTGCATCTAAATGGCCCTTAAACACAGCCAGGGATGGTGACTCCACCCCCTCCCTGGGCAGCCTGTTCCAATGCCCGACCACTCTTTCGGTGAAAAATTCTTTCCTAATGTTCAATCTAAACCTCCCCTGTTGGAGCTTGAAGCCGTTCCCTCTCGTTCTGTCACTAATTACCTGTGAGAAGAGACCAGCACCAACCTCTCTACAGTGTCCTTTCACGAAGTTGTAGAGAGTGATGAGGTCTCCCCTCAGCCTCCTCTTCCTCACACTAAACAGCCCCAGCTCCTTCAGCCGCTCTTCATATGATTTGTCTTCCAGCCCCCTCACCAGCTCCGTTGCCCTCCTCTGCACTCGCTCCAGCACCTCCAGATCTCTCTTGGATTGAGGTGCCCAGAACTGGACACAACACTCGAGGTGTGGCCTCACCAGTGCTGAGTACAGGGGCACAATCACCTCCCTGCTTCTGCTGGTCACACTATTTTTGATACAAGCCAGGATGCCATTGGCTTTCTTGGCCACCTGGGCACACGGCCGGCTCATATTCAGCCGCTTGTCAATGATAATCTCTTGTGGTGTGCAAAAGAGAGTGGAGAGCTTCTAGAGTCCAGTCTTTTTGTCTTAATTTTTTTGTTTGCTTAGCAAGTGAGGGTGTTGTCAGTGTGGGTCTCTCCCGTGGTGATGAGGACGATGAGCCTCGAATGAGGTTTGGTTTGTCCGTTAAATGCTATGGGATCCTGGGGTGGAAAAGCATCGGTTTGGTGTTGTCTGCGTGTCCTGCGCCGATGGTGTTGGGGATAAGGATGGTCTGTGTTTGTGCAGGGGGCGATGACAGTTTGCTGAAGGGCTGGGACACCAGGTGCAGCCCAGAGACTCCAGTCTTCACCAGCAAGAGGTGAGTGTCTGCAGCTGGACCTACAGCCACAGCCTGTGGCCACGCGCTGCTGCCGTGCCCCGTCCCGAGGTGTGTGGTGACAGCAGAGCCCTGTTCCTGCCTCCCTCGGGCACTGCAGACAGCTGTTAGGTTTATTCATCAGGACAAGTTCAGGTTGAAACTTTCTTCTCTGTGTCCTTCAATGTATTAAACCAACTGCTCATTCCACACGTGAGGATGGCGGTAGCTTCTTGCTAAAAGAAGGATCCTGATTTACACTTTTATTTGGGGAATTTTTGTGTGTTAAGTTTGGGTATCTTATGGAATGTTTTTTAGAAAATTTTGTGCCCCTCCGTTCACTCATTTGAAGTAATCTCTTTTTTTCTGGTGGCATAATCTTTTAGAATATGATTAAAACAATATGCACAGCTCTCCAGTGACATTCTGTATGTAACCTTAGAATACACTGGGGACTATTGCTATGGAAATATGAGTGTTGGGAGGGAAGTCTCCTGGGAATGGAGTTGTGCTGAAATTCTTAGGGGCTCTGAACAGCAGTTTATGGTACAACTATTACTAGAAAACATTTGTGCTGAGAGAGCGTGTGAGTGGAAGCTTTGCCCTGGGAAGGTTGTTGGATTGTGTAGCTGGAACTCTGCCTCTGTGGTCTGAAATTTGAGTTCACTTTACTCTCTTTTCCTGAGATCCCTTCGTGCAGCAATAGGGAGCAAAAATCCTTGACATTCAAGGAAGAATCCCTTCTCAGATCACAGATTGCTGTCTCTTCCCTCTTTTGCAGACACTCGATGGGGGTGTGCAGCATTCAGTGCAGTCCCCACCGGGAGAACCTTCTGGCTACCGGCAGGTAAATCCCTTCCAGCTGCTCCTCACTAGTGTGACCAGCCTCCTCTGGCATTTTGAACGTGCTGCTGCTGAAGAGGTGGTCTCTTCCCAAAGCCACTGTGGTGGAGACCATGCCATACAGCCTGATTTTTCTCTGTGCTTGTCGCGCCGCTTTGCTGCTTGTCTGTGTATTGATCTGCAATGTGTCCCCAGCTACGACGAGCACGTGCTGTTGTGGGACACCAGGAACATGAAGCAGCCGCTGGCGGACACCCACGTGGAAGGGGGAGTTTGGAGGCTGAAGTGGCACCCGAGCTGTGACTTTGTGCTGCTGGCAGCCTGCATGCAGAGCGGCTTCAAAATCCTGGACTGCCGCGGGAGCATGGGTGAGTGTTCAGGGGGACAGAGCTGCCCTTCCCACCGCTGGGTTCACGGGGGAGCCCCAGCTCCCAGCTCGCTGGAAAGGTCTTGGTGTTGGGTAACAGCCATGGATTTTCATTCCACCTTGAGGTTTTCCAGCTTTCCCAGACCCGTCCTCGCTGTTGGCCTGACGGTTTGTGCAAAGGCACCACCGTTATTCACAGAATCACAGAATCTTCTAGGTTGGAAGGGACCTTAAAGATCATCTTGTCCAACCGTCAACCCAACTGACAAAAATAGACACCCACACAACAAACAAGGAGCATCATCACTAAACCAGACCTCCCAGCACTACATCAACCCGGCTTTTGAACACCTCCAGGGATGGTGCCTCAACCACCTCCCTGGGCAGCCCATTCCAATGCCTGAGAACCCTTTCAGTGAAAAAATTTTTCCTAATATCCAGCCTGAACCTCCCCTGGGGCAACTTGAGGCCATTTCCTCTTGTCCTGTGCCTGTGACTTGAGAAAAGAGACCGACCCCCATCTCTCTACACCCTCCTTTCAGGGAGTTGTAGAGAGCAATAAGGTCTCCCCTCAGCCTCCTCTTCTCCAGGCTGAATAACCCCAGCTCCCTCAGCCTCTCCTCATAAGACTTATTCTCCAGACCCCTCACCATCTTTGTTGCCCTTCTCTGGACCCGCTCCAGCACCTCAATGTCTTTTTTATGGTAGGGGGCCCAAAACTGGACACAGCACTCAAGGTGAGGCCTCACCAGTGCCGAGTACAGGGGGACAATCACCTCTCGGGCCCTACTCCCCACGCTGTTCCTGACACAGGTTGTTCCTGATTCAGGTGTAAATCTCTCGTAACTCCTGTCCATGGGAAGAAAGCCCATTTGGTGTGGTTTGGTGTGGAGGCATTACCTGGTGACACAAGCTTTCTGCTCTGTGTCCATCTCCGGGGGTCACAGAGGTTCTCCCGAGTGTTGTAACTCCTGTCCATGGGAAGAAAGCCCGTTTGGTTTGGTTTGGTTTGGTGTGGAGGCATTCCCTGGTGACACAACCTTTCTGGTCTGTGTCCATCTCCGGGGGTCACAGAGGTTCTCCCGAGTGTCAGGCGATGCTGTGCTGTCAGCAGAAGGCACTGACCTGCTGCTGAATTGGTTGTTGCCTCAAAAGGAAGCGCCGTGCGGTCTGGTTAATCGAGAATAACCCGAATAAGCTCTCGGTGTGAATCAGAAGGTATTTACATGATGAAAAGCTGTTTGCATCTCCATTACAAATGCAATCTTGCATAAAATGGTTGCCTTCCTGGGTTTCTCCAGGCCTTGGGCAGATCCACAGCTTGCGAAATGAGGGTAACATTTCTGCTGTAGAGGGAAGGGAGGAACTCGATGTCCATTTAATATCAGAGTCAAATACTGACAGCTCACGGGAAGAACACATCTGCAAGTTATTAATAAGCAGAACCTGGTCTGATGATCTCACCGGCTGCATTTCTGGCTCCGTGGGGATCACTGTGGCATCTGTCTTGTCTTTCTTGAGCTGTATTAGCTGTTTTGAATAATGAGGGTCTTAAACCTCATGGATGTTAAACGCTCTTCTCCTGTCTCCTTACTGAGCCAGGGAAAACCAAGGGTCGTGAGTGGTGGCTGAAAAATGGTGAGGAGAGGCAGTGCCTCATTTCTCCTAGAACATTTGCCTCTTGTGGAGAAGGCAATAACCAGAGAAGGTTATTGTCTTCCTGTAGGACATTGGCAGGGCTGGAATGGCTTCTGAGCAGTCTGCAACAAACCATTTCACAACCTGATTTCTACTCATTTCAGTATTATTATTATTATTTTTTTTTTTTTTTAGCGGAGAACATGGAGGAATGTATCATCCTGTCGTCCTATGTCTTGCACAATTCCTTGGCCTACGGGGCTGATTGGTCGAGGCTGTGCCCCAGGGATTCCCTGACGGCGACACAGGACTCTGCTTCTGCGGAGGAGCTGGAGGGAAGGTCAGAGGAAGGAGATGAGAGACTGAATTTGCAGGTCCAGAACCTGAAGATCATCTACGAGTCTCCTACAGCTACTTTTGATGTGGTACTGGATGAGGAGAGCGAAGGCCCCGCCTCGCCACCCAAAGCAGAGGGGGGTCCTAAGCAGTCTGGGGCTGCTGCCCTGGGTAGGGGCCCTGGGTTAAAAGGGAGTTTGGGTTTGTCGGGGGGCCCTGAGCGAGGGGGAGACCCCGAGTCACCCAGGGCTTCCCAGTTGGGCGCTCGGAGACCCAATGGGGTGGGCCTGGAGAGCAGCGGTGACTCAGCCAGGTCTCTAGACAGCCCCAAAGAAACGAGCATCGTAGCGACTTGTTCTTTCTATGACAACATCCTCCACGTCTGGAAGTGGGAGATGAGCCTGGCGAGCCCCTCGGGGACGGCGGGTACCACCTCTCCCTCTGAGGGAGCAGCCCAGGGCGTGCACTGACCAGGCCTGGGGCAGGGGGGTGGGAAACTCCTGTGTGCGGAGAGCGACGGCGGAGCTTCTGCCCTCTCTGATTTCTGCTGGGCTTTGCCAGTTTTCTCGCTGAGCTTGTGAGTCCTTTAAGGCTGATACTGATGGAATTACCGGTGTTTTATTTTCGGCACTTGAGGAAAGGCTTTGCTTTGAGGAGTGTGGTCGAGCACAGACGCGTTGATTTAGTTTTCCCTTGATGTGCTAGCTCCAAGCAGGAGAGCCTTCCTCGCAGCGGCCGCTTGTTTGGGCCCTGTATTTGAATCCCTTCAAGGCTGGTTTGCGTTTCCACCGTGGATCTGTTAAGCCTGTTCTCTTCCCACCACAAACCAAACTTGGCTGCGCTGCTACGTGTAGACACGGGGTGTGAGCTGAGATTTCCTGGGCATCTCGGGAAAGCCCGTGTGTTGTGGCTCCACTGTGCATGCAGAGGCTTTGCTGTGCCACCTGTCACCTAGTGTGTACCTTTAGAAGGTGCTTAGATGGTCCAGATACTGACAGTGTGACGTGCCCGTAGGGTTCGTTGGGGGAGAGAAGTCCTTTTTCAGAGGGAAATCCAGTCTGAGTGACAGCAGCTCCGAGCAGGGCCTTTCCTGGGGGGGTTCTGGTCTGATTTGCACAGTCTGATTTTGACACGGGACTCCTCACCTGGCTGTGATCTCGCTCCGTCGCTCTCCAAGCAGGGCACAGCCTGGTTTAGTGGAAACGGTGTCATGAGCCCCGCTGTGTCCTAGTGCCACCATCAACCCCTCCCGGCCTCTTGGTAGCAAACTCATTGAGATGTAGGTTTAGCTCCAAAGTCGAGATCTTTCCGTTGCGTAAAGGTGAACAGCTTTAAGATCAAAACCTCCAAAAAAGTCCAAGCAGTGTTTCCTGACATTTTTCAAAGTTCAAAATACTACGGAATAGTACGGAAACCAAAATCTTTCCAGCGTTGCCCTAACTACCTCCAGGAATGGCTGCGGAATCTCTCATGGTTGCTCCATTAGCTTTCTTTTTTCACTGTGAAGTATCAGCAAAACCACTGTTTCTGGAACACTTCTGTTCTCTTCCTAGAAACAGAAAACAGCTTCAAGTAGGTAAGTAACGTCTCTAGCTATCGTGGGTTCTCTTTGAGGGTCCTAAAGAATTAGTCTCCTGGAGGAAAAGAAACACCAGCAACAAGGTCTGTCTGTACCAGCGCTGCCTCTGTGGCGAGGGGCAGCAGGAGAGGATTTTACTGCTTCAAAACGCCTTTTTCAAGGGTGAATGTGCATTTTAGAAAACATTCTTAAGCGCTGTTACCTGAAGATTCGTATTAGTATTGTCAACAAGAGCTTTTGTTAAAAACAAACAAACAAACAAAACCACCCTATTTTTGGATGTTTCTAAAATAAAATCAATATAAGTGGTTTATTTTCCTTCGTTGTTTTGATTTTTTTAAAAAATCCTTGTTGAGGACCTTCTGCCTCGTCCTGTGATGGCTCCATCTCTCTGAGGGCGTTTGGTGGCGTCGGCCGTTCCTGGGGAGACGGAGCAGACAATCCAGTTCCCTCACACCTGGGCGGGAAGGCCGAGGGTGTATCCTCCAGCGACACAGCTTTGGACTGTGCCTCTTCTCTTAAAAGGTAGTAATTGGCTTTTTTATTGCTGTGTGAGACGAGATGCAGGCAACAGTCTGAGGTTAGTGAGGCTGAAGAGTGTCACAGAGCCAGTGACTCGGAATCGGGGAATTGTTGGAGTTGGAAGGGACCTCTAGAGCCCATCCAGTCCAACTCCCCTGCCAAAGCAGGGCTGCCCAGAGCACAGCACTCAGGAGCATCCAGGTGGGGCCTGAAGATCTCCAGAGAAGGGGACTCCACACCCTCCCTGGGCAGCCTCTGCCAGGGCTCTGCCACCCTCACCCCAAACAAGTTCTTCCTCACATTGCAGTGGAACTTCCCATGGTCCAGCTTGTGCCCGTTGCCCCTCGTCCTGTCCCTGGGAACCACTGGAAAGAGTCCGGCTCCATCCTCCTTCAACCCCCCCTTTAGACACTTGGAAGCATGAAGAAGGTCTCCCCTCAGCCTTCTCTTCTCCAGGCTCAAGAGCCCCAGCTCTCTCAGCCTTTCCTCAGCAGGGAGATGCTCCAATCCCTCCATCATCTCTGTTGCCCCACACTGGACTCTCTCCAGCAGTTCCCTGTCTCTCT